GTCTTCTTCAGTGTACAATATTAAAAAATAAAATTCACTCGCAGTAATTACATAGAATAAAAGATGTGGAAGACGTATTAACAATCCTTTTCAACCAAAATGTCTTGGTTGAAAAGGATTGAGGAAGAAGACCTGATGTCAGGCAGAAACGTTTGTAAGCAATTTTAAACGAATATATTATAACCTTCGCACGAAGAACTTGCATTGTGGCTCTTTACGCTCCTATTGATTTTATTAATTATTATACTTTAAAATATTTTGTTTTTGTTATTAAATAATAAATATATAAATATAATATGCTATTAAACAATAAATATATAAATTTAATATTAAGTAACATTTTTCGTGCAAATAATACATTTTAATTAAACTGATTTTAAAAAGTAAATATTCACATAACATCAACACCTTCAAAAGTCAATGGTCTTTGACATATGTTGTCATATCCTCGAGTAACAATTGACGTTTTAAGGTGCTGACCTTATGTGAATATTTACCTTTTAAAATACAAAACTATGAAGTTTCTCATTAATTACATTAGAAATACAGCAAAAACTACATTGTGTGCGAAATTAAAATTTCAATAGTTTCAATTTAAATAATAGCTAATTAAATCCACGTCTTTATAAGAAACGCTTTAGCTATTTATCGCTTAGTCTTTGAGCAATTTTTGTGGAAATTGTGAATTGTCAAAATTATAGTGTCAAACTTATAGTGCGATAAATAAAATAAAATAAAATAGTTTTTCTGAATTTACACATCCAGTAAAACTTATAACATGGATAATGAAAAAATATATCAGTCGTATATTGATATCGATTCTAATAATGACATTGTTATTTCGGGTATCGCTGGCAGATTTCCAAGTTCGGATAATATGAAGCAGTTACAAGAAAATCTATTTAAAAAAATTAATCTCGTTAAAGAAGATCATATTCGATGGAATATAGGTAATTAATTAGTATATTATAGTTTTACAGTATATTCTTCATTGTAGTTCATGATTTTTTATTCGTAAGTAATATAATTAATTAATTAACGTAATTATCTATATTATATAGTTAAATATTGTAGAAATATATTTTAATCTTTAATCTTACATTAAATAACACTAGTAATCTAAATTGCGAATTAAACATGACAATTATAAGTTGCATTTGCGAGACACTAGTTTTAATTCAAACTTGACAAAAAGAAATAGAATTTGTAGTGAAAATTACGGTTGCAAACATAAGACGAGTTTCATTCACAAACAATATTAAAAAAATAATTTTGTATTATTGTTGAATATTTTTCAAAATAAAAAAAAGTTTTTTAAGAAAATTAATATTTAAAAGATTTTAATGATATTGTTGGCTTTCAAACGATCGAGAGAAAACAAAAAATTATACTTACTGCGACAATATAGTTATAACTTTAAAGAGATTTTATCACATTTTTCAGAACATCCGGATATACCAACTCATATGGGTACAATTAATAATATTGATAAGTTTGACACAGAATTTTTTGATGTACCTTTCAAGCAAGCGCATTCTCTTGATCCTATGACGAGAATGTTACTAGAACACACATACGAAGCAATTATCGATGCAGGGATCAATCCAAAACAATTACGAGGGAGAAATACTGCAATAGTCATAGGAACGTCTTACCTTGAATCACAAGAGAAATTTTTGTACGAAAATTTGCAGGTAAAACAAATCACTGATTGATAAGGATAATAAAATAAAATAATTGCAGATAAATTATAAAAATTATTATTTACATATTTAAATTTGTTATTGCTTACATCCTGTGATTTAGATAAACGACAGGAATATTATTGGATGTAGTAAATCTATAATGGCAAATATTCTTTCATACGTTTTGAATTTAAAAGGATCATCATGTACTGTGGATACTGCCTGTAGCTCTAGTCTACACGCCATTGCTGTTGCATATGATTGTATTATGTCAGGCCGATCCGAGGACGCGATAGTTGGTGCCACAAATCTTTGTTTGCATCCTACAATAAATCTGCAATACTCTCGTCTTGGTATTTTCATTAAAATTACATAATTTCATAATATAAGTTATATAATTCGATATACATATAATGTTAAAAGAATGCATAATTTTGTACGTAATTTTAGGTACTTTATCATCTGATAGTTGCTGTAGACCTTTTGATAATACCGCAAACGGTTATACGCGCAGTGAAGCTGCGACGGTATTGTACCTTCAAAAAGCAAAAAACGCGAAAAGAGTTTACGCTATATGTAAACATATTAAACTAAATAATGACGGTTACAAAGAAGAAGGAATAACATATCCATCGACACACATGCAAAGCGCTTTATTAACAGAGTTTTACAATGAATGCGGAGTATCTCCAACTTGCTTAGATTACGTTGAGGCACATGGAACCGGCACTAAAGTTGGCGATCCTCAGGAAATCAATGCTATCCATAAAGTTTTGTGCAAAAATAGAAAAACCCCATTGATGGTGGGCTCTATAAAATCCAACCTTGGTCACGCTGAACCTGCCAGCGGAATCACACAAATCGCTAAAGTAAAGCAATTCATTTCACTAATTACATCGTTATAATATAAAAAAAATAGACTGATTAGAACAAAAAACAAAGAATTTAAAACAGATAATCGAAATAATCACTTTATGTTCAAAGAGAAAAAGAATTATTTTAAACAATACATAAAATACTATGAATTTTATTCATCAAATAAAGAATAATAAATTATAGTAACGCTTCTTTAATTTTTTTAAATGAAATGTAATAGTTGTTATTTTTTAATGTAAAAATAACGATAAATTTTCCTTATTTATTAACAATTAAAATTTGATACAATGCTCACAATATACTCTACGCTTAAGCATTTTAACATAGTAAATATTAAATCTTATTGCTAACTTTATATTAATATATATATAAAAACAAACAAAATTAAATAAAGTATCATAACTAAATCAATTTTATATACCAAAATACACTGATTTTTTAAGGCGATAATAGCATTTGAAACCGGTCTTGTACCACCAAACATTAATTTTACATCATCGCGGAACGATATAGACGCCTTAGCGGACGGAACTATACGTGTCGTCACAGAAGCATTACCGCTTAAAAATGGTTATATTGCTATGAATTCCTTCGGATTCGGTGGATCCAATGCTCACCTGTTATTGAAGTGGAATCCTAAAAAGAAAATTTATAATGGAGCACTTCTTGATAATTTGCCAAGACTTGTGGCATTGTCCGGGCGCACTGAAGAATCTGTGAAATTGTTTTTAAACGATGTGAGTAACTATTTCAGAAATAGCACTAACATCATTTTTAACAGCAAAAAACGTTACATTATATATACTATATTTACTTTTTTTAAAGTTTTTTAAAACTTTTTTTAAAAGTTTTTTAAAAGTTTTTAAGTACTTTTTTAAAACATTTATTTTGTAGATTGCTAATCATCCCACAGATGTAGAATATATCCGTTTACTCCACGACATTCACACAGACGACATAGATGGTCATTCATGGAGAGGATACATTATACTGGATTCTTGGCAAAAAAATTCCATCAAAAAAATTCAAAACTGTAAAAACATAAAAAGACCTATTTGCTTTATATTCTCTGCCATAGAAACGCAATGGCAAGAAATAGGTAGGTATCCAAAATTCAACATATTTTATGTGTACAAATTGATTAATAAAATAATACTTTCAAACTTTATCAGGTAAAAAGCTATTAAAATTTCATGCATTTGCGAAAGCTGTAAAAATGTGTGATGCTGTTTTGAAACCGTATGACATAAGTATTACAAATATTTTGACGAAGATGGATGCAACATTAAGCAAAAGTGCTTTACATACATTTGTTGGCATCATTGCTATTCAGGTATGATATTTCGAAATCGCACAAAAATCTATATCGTATATACTGATAAACGCAAATTTGAGTTTATCACTATTTGTCTATATTATATTTACTTTACTATAAAATATGTCAATAATAAATATTTTTTAATGCAATATATTTAATAATAAAATTGTTTATTAATTTTGTAGATTGCCTTGGTAGATTTCTTAACATCTATAGAGATTATTCCGGATTACATAATTGGTCATTTTGCTGGTGAACTTGGTTGTGCTTATGCAGACGGGTGTCTGACTATGGAACAAACTATTCTGTCAGCATACTTTATTGGTTTAGCATGTGTGAAAGAGAAACTAGTTCATAGCTCTACCGCAGTTGTCAATTTTGATTACAAATCTCTTAAAGATATATGTCCAGCAGATATCAAAATAATATGCAGAAACAACCAGAACAGCAATATTGTAACTGGCCCCGCTAAATCCATGCAAGAATTTTTGCGAAAATTGCAGGTACGTTGACTTTTTACCTTTTATAAATTATAGAATTTTCGTTATTAATACATAATGTATGTAGTGTTTTTTTTAATAGTCGAGTAATAATTTTAAATTTCAATTTATTGCATTTACTAATATATATTAATTTTTTTTTTTATCAGAACAACAACATTGACGTGAAAGCAATCTCCCGCTACAACATGCCGTATCACAGTCGTTACCTCGCTTCTCTGAAATCGCAGTTTTTTACAAGTTTGAGCGAAATAATTTCACAGCCGAAAGAAAGGAGTCCCAAATGGATCAGTACCTCCGTACCTCGCAATAAATGGTCCAATCCAGCATCAAAATTATGCTCAGCAAGCTACCATACGCGTAGTATATTAAATACCATTCTTTTTGAACAAGCAACGCATATGATCCCAGATAACGCTGTAATTATTGAAATTGCACCAGTTAGCATTTTACAGGACATTTTGAAAGAATCGGTACATTCAAAAGTGACGAACATTGCACTGACTAAGCGAAATGAACCAAATGCTATCGATTTAGTATTGCAAGGGATTGGAAAACTCTACAACTGTGGTCTCCAGCCACGGATCGCTAATTTGTATCCACCGGTGAATTTTCCAGTTAGCCGAGGTACTCCTATGATCTCTCCATCTATAAGGTACAATATATTATTAAAATTAATCTAAATATTACATATATAAATAAACACATAATTGTATAAACAAATGTTTTAATACTATCAGATGGAATCATTCTGAAGATTGGTTTGTACAAAAATATGAAACGCAAAAGAAAATCAAATCCAGAAAAAGACAAGTAGAAATTATGACGGGTGACGAAGATTATAGCTATTTAACCGGTCACGTCATTGACGGAAGAAATATGCTACCAGCAACAAGTTATCTTGTGCTTGTTTGGGAAACTATTGGTATGATGAAAGGAGAAATATACACAAAAATACCTGTAGTATTTCGGGATATAAGATTTATTCGTGCTACTCATTTTTCGAAGGACAGCAACATAAAATTGACGATTACGATACAGAAAGGTATTTGTGGTAAATCTTATTCTTTTAAGAAAATCTTTAAAAAAAATTTTATAAATAATATATAATTATTTATAACAGTATGTAATATATTGAATGTTAAATTATTATAGAGAGCGGCAAATTTGAAGTGACTGAAGGAGACAGCATTGTTGTGACAGGTGTTGTACACACTACATCAAATGCTGAAGAAGAAATGGTGCCGAATGATCTGTTATCGGTGGATATTGACGAGAAAGAACATATGAGTTCTCGAGACATCTACAAGGAATTAAAGTTACGCGGTTACCAATACAGCGGCAGGTTTTGCGGCTTGAACAGCGCATCAATCTCAGGCAGCAAGGGACATATCGCTTGGATAGGTAATTTTGTGACATTTATGGACACTATGCTGCAGATGCACATAATTGGAAAAGATACCAGAGATTTGTATGTTCCAACAAGTATTCAAAAATTGATAATTAACCCCGCACTTCACAAGTTGAAGTCACGGAACATGATGTCAGAAAAAAATAAACGTAAGTTTTTCGATTACAATTAAATAAATATTTTAAAAGTTATTCTGTAAAATAAAGATTTATTTTAATTCTTCTCTTACAGAATTACCAGTTCGTATATATAAACAGATGAACATAATTATATCAGGCGGAATAGAGATACGCGGGTTTGAGACTACTTCGATCTTTCGTCGAAAACCAGTAAGAGATCCCGTCATCGAGGAGTACAAATTTGTAGCTCATCAAGATTGTGCAATAATTTCATTAAATGAAGCAATCCGCATATCAACGCAACTCGCGCTGGATGATCATCGGAGCATTAAAGTAACATCCATTGAGTTAGTGGAAGATGAGGATAATGTAATATTAGAAGATTTATCATCGGCGTTACTGATTAAGGCTCTTAATGATATTCCATTAATACAACCAAATGTTACTTTAATAACATCGCCGAATCGTTTCAATCCAGAGGAACTTTTTTCAAACGTTTTGGTCGCAGATTTAAACAAACCATTTGTAGGCGACAAAGCTTTGATAGCTACAGGATTTAATCTTTTGACGAAACATCAGAAATCATTGGAAAAACTTTTACCGCTTTTGAGAGATGGCGGTTATCTCTTAACACGCGAGAAATGCAATCTAAATAAGTATGACAAATATTTGAGTAAATACGCATTAAGTGTCATTCTGGAAAAGCATACGGATAAAGAAATAATTATCCTTCTAAAGAAAAAAGTTCCGATAAAGAAAACAACTGTTGTTTATATAAATAATAATAACTTTAATTGGCTTGAAGATTTGAAGGCGCTTGTAAACGACGAGAATAAACATAATGAAGATAATAGAATTGTAATTGTTGGAGAGGGAGACTTGGAAAATGGTTTGTTAGGCTTTATCAACTGCTTGAGGAAAGAACCTAGTGGCAAGCTTGTTAGAGGAGTGCTTATTCAAGACGAGAAAGCACCTAAGTTTTCTCTACAAGATTCTTTTTATATACAGCAGTTGCAGAAAGACATGATTATTAACGTTTTGCGACCTAACAAAACTTGGGGATCTTACCGATATTTACGATTATTGCATCCAAAAGTCGAACCCGTAACTGCCGCCTATGCATGCCAAACGGTATATAAAAATTTATGCAGAAATTTAAATCGCCTATCGATGCTATTTATAGAATAATATCTTTGTTTTCAAATTTTAATAACTACATCATGTATAGATTATGTACTTCGATTATATACGCGAAAATAATGTTTCGCTTTATATGTGTGATAAATATATATACATAGTAATATTTTCCTACAGGTTCGTGGCGATTTAAGTACACTTTGTTGGGTGGAAAACAATATATCTATCGATTCCCATCGTGAAGATATAGTACGTGTGGTCTATTCATCCCTCAATTTCAAGGATGTAATGTTAGCCACTGGCAAGTTGACGTCGGATGTCGAAACGTCAGGACGACTTCAAAGCATGAATCTTGGATTTGAATATGTAGGATTTGATGTCAATGGACAACGAGTAATGGGACTTTGTGACAATAAGTATGTATAGTGTAAATGCCCATCTCATTATTAATTCATAATTTGAATCAGAAATTTGTTGATATTGATTTATACTACATACATAAATTATATGAACTAAATAAATACTAACAATTTCTTATTTAATATAAATTTGTTACTATATAATATTTTATAATAATCCAACTGACAATTCAATTGTGTTAAAATTAAAATTGTTATCTTTGTAGATGTATAGCAAATGTCATTATAAAAGATAAAGATTTTTGCTGGAACATACCTGATACATGGACCTTTGAAGAAGCTGCTACAGTACCGTGTGTTTACAGCACGAACTATTATGCTCTATATCATTTCGGAAAAATGAAGAAGGGTGATAAAGTACTTATCCACTCTGGTACTGGCGGCATTGGACAATCAGCCATTCATCTCGCTCTTCAGGAAGGATGTCAAGTGTTTACTACCGTAAGCACTGCAGAAAAACGTAAAATCATCAGGGAACTATTTCCGGCTATTCCCGATGAGCATATTGGAAATTCGCGAGACACCAGTTTCGAACAAATGATAATGAGACAAACAAACGGTCGCGGCGTTGATATTGTATTAAACTCATTGGCAGAAGAAAAACTTTTAGCATCTGTTCGTTGTTTGGCGAGAAGGGGTCGTTTTCTAGAGATTGGAAAGTTTGATATTTTATCCGACAATTCTCTAAACATGTCTTTATTTCAAAAAAATATTAGTTTTTATCCCGTTCTGTTGGATGCAATGTTTACCAGTAATCATAAAAATAAATCTCGGCTATCTATATTAATGGCTAAAGGTTTAAAAAATAGAAATATTAAACCTATTCAGACGACAGTTTTTCCAAAGACGAAGATTGAAGCAGCTTTTAGATACATGGCAAGCGGAAAACACATGGGGAAAGTACGTTTAGAATAACTAAATATATATTATGAATTATTATTAAAAACATAGTGCGTAATAAATTTCATATTTTTAATACAATGATATGTTTATAGATT